CAAATTCTAGCTGAAAGGACGAAACTGCGCATAGGACTAGTGAGATGCAAATTGCAGAGAAAGGTAAACATGGAAAAGTGCTACAAGTGTTGGAATTATGACCACGTCACAAAAGATTGCACAGGACCAGACAGAAGCAGATTATGCTACAGATGTGGGGAAGAAGGCCTTGCAGCAAATACATGTCAAAATGTAGAAAAATGTCCAATCTGCCAAACAAGCGACCATAGGGCAGGCACAGGGAAATGTGAAACGTTTAGAGGATCCCTATCAGTGCTAAGGAAACTCGAAAGACAGTCAAGCAGACCAAGGAAACCAAACAACGGAAATGGCGAATACTAAAGTCCTTCAAATCAATGTGAACCGATGTTATGAAGCCCATGACCTCCTGACAGCCACAGCCAACCAAATGCACATCGACATAATAGCAATCTCCGAGCTCAATCACAGGATCATGCAAAAAGTGACATGGCTTACGGACCCAAAGATGGACGCTGCCCTAAAATTAGGAAACAAGGATATCCCGATACTTAAAACAGGAGCTGGAGATGGCTTCGTATGGGCCAAACTCCAAGAATTTTCAGTGAGCCTGAGCGAAATGGAATTCAGACTGGCCCTAGGGGCTATGGGGACACTGCTAGACGGAACAAATATGGATCTTTCACTGACGGGAGATTCAATTTTCTGAGCAACGCAATGGAGTAGGCATACCACCAATGCGCGAGGCAACAGAGTGCTAGAATGGATGGCGTTTCAGAACTTAATCCTTTAAAACTCAGGCAAAGAAGCTACCTTCTCAAAAATAGGCGCTAGCTCCATAAAAGATCTGATATTGACAAGAGGCAACATTGGCGCAAAACTCAATAACTGGAGAGTCTTAGACTAGGAGACATAATATAGCGACCACAGATATATCCAATTCGAGATAGCACACAATAAGAAAGTTCAGAACAGTGAGACAGTAACACACAGATGGAACTTTAAAAAAGATAAACATGACAAAATTCGACGGAACCATGGCCGGAGCAAAACAAGGTACAATAACTGACACGCCTCCCCAATTGGAACAACTCATTACGGCAATATGCTATGATTCAATACCGAAAAAACGCACATATAAGAATGAGAAAGCCGCGTACTGGTGGTCCGATCAGATCGCTAAACTGAGAGAAACCTGCATTGCCATAAGAAGAAAATTGACCAGAAATAACCGCCAATCTACAAGATCTCCTCTAGACAAAGAAAATTATTTAGAAAATAGGAAACAATTGAAACAATGGTACCCTACCATTTAAAACTAAAACGGTGGAAGATATTGAAAACACACTCAGTACGCATGCACTACCACCTACAAACAACTTACTTATTCTTCATAACCCATTATTCTGCCAGTAAAACCGAAAACATGCACAAGAACCCAAGAACGAAACTAAATGCCGAAAAATCTAAAAATTAAAAATGGCGCAATGGAGGCAGCTTCGGCTCAGGCTTCCTTGCTCCAGCTTGCCCACTTGCCGTTTTCTTATCACTTTCCTTTCCACATTTGATATGTGCCGTAGGGGTCAACGGTGCACCCTTGTAGTGCACCACCTGCACGATCGGAGTAGGTATCTCTAATCTGTCATAATCACTGCCGACTGCAGGCACTCAAGCAGCGCAGGTAGAGCACTCAGAGTAGACTCTACTCTTGATAAGTGTTTAGGAAATGCTGTTAGCGTACCGCTAATTCACACACTAAAATAATGCGGTTTTGCAGTAGTTTTCCTGCACTTTACAGATCATTTTGTTCAAAAGTTGAAATAGGAGCATTTCTCCGATGCTGCTAGCTTACTTTGATTTGGTTTGTTTTATTATACGCACTTTTAACATACTTCTAAAGCATTAACATTGAAATGCCATTTTTTCTGAAGTTGGCTGGAACTTTTGGAGCGCATTGACGCACATTGTTTTATCTGGGATGTCGAGACAAACCTTTCTTTCAATCCCTCAGCATCTCGTGGGATGACCGCATCAACCAACTTGTCTTGGCGTGAACCATGTATCTTCGATCACCAAAACCACTTCTCATAAATCAGGTTTCCAGTTTGGTGCAAAAAACTTCTCCTTTATAAGGCTCAAATTAGACTATTTATGAGATACTGTTCCAACATCTGGAGCGATGCTCCCAAGCATTCGTTGGCTCTATTAGATGCAGTACAAAGAAGAGAAATAAACATGTTGTTCGATAATCCAACTCTCACCGATTCATTGGAATCTCTCGAACACAGACGCAAGGTGGTCGACTTATCGTTATTTTATCGCTATTAAGATGGAAGATGTTCTGACGATAGTATACCTATACATTTTAGGTATAGCTATACACTCGACCCAATATCGATGTAATTTTCATCCGTCTTTGAGGCTTCTATGCGAAAATTAAGCACCTAAATTTGTCACTATCTCACGGTCTATTTGTTATAATGACAACATTTTCATAGGCAAGGGGTTGTGGGAGGTGACGGCCCCTACTGACACAAGATGTTATATGCCGGTTGTTTAAAACGTCTATCAATCGCTCAAGAGAAAGAAAACACGGTAATGTAGGCAATACCGAAATACTACGACTGGCGGAGGTTTTATTAAGTGCAGTGCTTCCAGAAGTGTTTTTTTGAGGCTTCCTATGCCGTTTGTTAGCGTCCATTAGAGTTTAATTGTCCCAATGGCCTTTGAGGTATATACATAGAATAAAACATCAATTATCTCGTTCTTACCTGGCGATGTCTTTTTATAGAAGGAATCGATTAAAAACTTATCCAGTTTTTCTCAAACGCCGGCCTAAACTCTGAAAAACTTGCAGGTGTACCTATTCTGAACGACCTGGACGTTATATTCTCTTGAAGCTAAAAGCTGAAACTGAGTTTTCAAAAGATTGAAAGAAGCAGCTGAGCATATCACAAGCTTATTGTTGCAGAAACGCAATAACTGTGACATACTTAACTACAACATAAAGAAGAAGAATGATCAGCCCCAGATCATTCAGCTATACTCCAAAACTGATTTAGATAAGTTTAAACAAAAGCTGTTTTTTTTCCAGTGAAAGAAATGAAACACTTGAAACATTCTAACTGAGTGAACAATTTATTAATTATAATAAAGTATACCTACTATAAGCACTACATCAAAGCTATAACAAAATAAATGCAACGAGTCAAACTATCAAGTATCAACACAGCAATGAAATACAAAATACCTACTTTTTAAAATTAATGATAAGTATGTAAACAGAGATAACACCTAATTCAATAATTATTAAGTACTTTATCAATTTAGAGGTGTTTTGCTCTAGTTCAAGCAAATACTAGTTCAAAAGTCACAGCGACGTGAACATAAAATAATGTTATTACAAGTGTTCATATGATCAAATGTTAGGTATAATATGAATCAATTAAAACTATTCTTACTTTTGTATTGATCCGAGGATTGAGCTGAACAACAAGATAGAGGCAGCACGCAGGGCTAGTAGTAGCACAGAATTAACAGCGGGGGCTTCTTTAGGCCTTTACACAGCACCACAGCTGAAGTTACTATTCAATATTTAGTTGAAATAACACAAAAGGTGAGCCAGGCGTTAGACTCTTCACAAGTATATCTTTTCAACTTTTACTGTAGCACTACAAAAGGACGACTGGGCTTGGTAGTACAAGGGGGAAATTATTTACACACAAACAAAAGACAAGACGGAGTCGTCTTGTTCCAAACTTCCAATCAAAAGGGAGGCTCGAAAGAGGGCTTCCAGCCAACACAACACTGTTATGTTTTTTAGATGAAGACGGCTCTGGTCTAATGAAAGGGTGCTTACAGCCAACACAACACTGTCAACGCAGACTATTTTGTCTAATAGAAAGGGGACTTCACTCTTCAGCCAACACAATATTGTAATTGAAGACAATTTCTTGTACCATACAGCACTGGTGCAGTCAACTGTACAAGAAAAAAGAGGGCCTTTTTTCAACTTCTTTTTAGGAGTGTTAAAAATTCTCACAAAAAACTTGTTACCAACTGAAGGGAACAATGGCGGTGTGTCTCTCGTTTTTATGTTCTTCCAAATTCTAGAAGATTGTTGCCATATGTCGGCTTTTTATTGGTCGGTTGCAAAGTGCTGGTGCCATAACAACAGTCAACAGTGACAAGCACGGCAAGTAAGGTATACAGAGCGCAAAAAAGAGACAAAAAATGATGCATTTGGCAGCTGATGTGTCAGGAAAAGCACAGAGTGGTTCAATGATGCAAAACATAAATAGACAAAAAAAAAAGAAAAGTTCAAATGGGCCAAAAAGAGCAAAAAGAGGTCAAAAATAAATTCTTGTTGTAGAAACAGTTTCTGCAACACTTATTCATCAAAAGGCATTTTCTTGCAAAGCTTTCGGTAGATATTTAAATTTTAAAACTAATATCAGCAACCGAAAATGTCAATGCGAGATTCAACATTTTTAGGAATTTACTTTTCCACATCATCCAGAAGCATCTGTTTCTGTTCCACGCTCAGCTAGACTTTGCAGTCTGCGCATCTCAGAGCTCAAGCTACTTTTCATATTTCTATGATTTTTTTTTATTGCGCTTTCCTTATGTGCACAAATATTTCTCTTTTCCAAACTCAAAATGTTTTATTTACAACGTAGTTTAGCTGCAACATAAATTTTTATTACAAGTAAGCCAATGGTTCTCAATCCTTGTTAGCCTGATAAGATTCTGCATTATACAGACTTCTCAGTGGAAAATTAAAGTTAAAGCAAGACAAATGTTTTCAATGCTTCTGTGAATTTAAGAGGCCGTACCCGTACGGAACAATTTTCTTGTAAATTCAAGAGAGTGTGTAAGGCAATTTTCTTGAGGTTTTGTTTTAGCGATAAAGTTATTTAGGGGTGTCGGAGAATATTAGTTCCATATTTCTAAGAAATATGTCGGGACATAAAAGCTGGAAAATATTTCATCCAAATTAAAATCTTGAACAATATAGTTACCTATAATCAGGACCAGTTCCAAGTTTTCTGAAAGTTACAGCTAGGTCGTTCGGTTTCCTTTGTTTTAAACTTTCCCGAAGTCTCATGAGACTATCCTCATTTTCATAAATTACAGTATACTTTTTCCAGTCGTTTTCATAAACAAGAGTTGACAACGCCTGAGATAAACTTTCCGCACTCGGGTGTAAATTATACGTTTGAGATTCGTTTAGCTGCAACTTGGAATTCCAGAACGTTTGAAAATGGGGTATTTGAAGACTCGAGGAAACCGACTGGATTACTTCGTTAATTTGGGGAGATTCTGGGCCGAATATTGCTGCCACTCCGGTTTCAACGACATCGCAAACTGGAAAATAAGTACATGCCATGATAGTTTAATTATATTAAACATTGAAATTATGTAACCTTGTAAGGATTAACTATAACGCAAACAATTATTTATTGAAGGCCTATGCTGGAAATATGAGAACATCAATAAGCTTCCAAAACTCTGTTACAACTAATTACAATTTCGGATCTTCAATTTCGCTTCGCCAAAACCTAATTTTAAACTCTTTCAATAAAGGTGTAACAGGCCTTTATATTCGCATAATTTATATTTTATAAGAGGGTGAGAAATATAAGGGACATAATACCTCTTTAATATTTGAATATTTAGCAAAATTTAAATTAATCTTATAAAGAAATTGGGTTACTAGATTGTATAATACAAAATCCATTCATTCTAAGCTTTTAAACTTATAAACAAAAAAAAAAAAAACGTACTTCTGCTTCTAGCTTAGATCACTTTCATCAATATTGCCAAAGCTACTGCATATACCTACCTAATGAAATGATATTTTGCTGTACGATAATTATTATTCCAATCCATTTTTTAATTAATTAGATTCCTAATTTATATTGAATTGTTTCAAAATTCTATTATATATTTTTTCTCTCTATAAAATATTATAAATTCCTTAAAACTATTTTACCCATTTCACCGGACGGATCCGGAAGCAAAATGCAACCAGGGAAATAACGAATAACAGGCTTCTCTGGAGTAATTAAAAAAGCAAAATTTCTATTTTCTATGCATTTTAGAGGAGAATCTAATTTAAATTTATGGAATGTTTTGTGACTTGAATATATATATACTGCATAATGGATTTTAATTACTTAGAAAATATTCAATTTTCCTATATTCTGTCGGGATTACTTTTTAACTAAACTCACCTTTTAACCTCAAAACGATTTCCACAAAGAAAGCAAAATTCTTACCTGTCTGACCAGCTTCAAAGGTGCTCGATTCTTGTAGCGGAAAAACGTGCCCAACGACGTGGTACTTTGTTTTAGCTTTTATGATGCTTAATGCATTCTTGATTGCAATCTCCGTTACTTTAGAGTGCTCATCTTCGCCGAGGAAAATTGCTGGAAAATGAAAATAAAAAAGTTCTCAATTTGCTTTTTACGATAAATCGCCCGGCAAGGAACTTTGATCTTGTTACGGAAATTTTAGATTTGGCGCACGGCTCTTGAAGAAGAAAATGCGATATTGGTTTGCAGGAAATTGTTATGTGGCCGTAATCAAGAAGATAATTTGAAAAATAAAGAAAATGTTTCCACAAAGTTTTCATCAGAAATAATGTTTTATCTACAACAAATTGAAAAATGATCATCTAAATTATTATATTATCATGGTACCTATTTACTACAGAATTGTAGGAAAGTTCTTGAATGCTAAGTTAAAAAGTGGTTATGGGCCCAGACAGCAGGCTAGCAGAGGAAGATTGATGTGTTGTACCAGTTGAGTGATAAAAAAAGTCAGCAGTGTTTAAAAAAAAAACGTGAGTGGCGGGTGTGTGGGCAGGCAGAGCGAATAGTAGTGGTGCAGCAGTAGAAAAAAAGTGCAAGCCATGAAGTCATGCCTAAGAAAAACACCCTGAATACGGTACCACAGAGACCCGTACGTGACGACCCGAGTATAGACAAATTACACCGTTTAACGATACCTTAGGGAACCCTACGCGACGTTCTGAGTATAGACAGATTTTATGAAACTACGTCAAGGAAATAAGGGACTTAAGTTCTTAAATTATCAAGAAATTCTGATAACTATGAGAGACAAAATCAGGTGAGCGCACGCAGCGACTGTATACCTGAATTTTATCCAGATAATCCGAATTTAACGGCAACCAAATGGCTGGAAAAATTCGATCAGCTCAGAGAAGTGAATCGGTGGAACGACATATCGACCATATACCATAAGCAGTCCAGATTGACCAGCATGACGAAGTCGTGGTGCCATAGCCTTACTGAGTACAAGAGTAGAACCAGTGGAAACAACTTATTATAAAATCTTTTGCTGATCATAACGACTATGCAGCATTGCTAAGGAAAATGCTGGATAGAAAGAAGCGACCAGGCCCCGTATTCTTGACTGCCCGGGAAGGGAGAGTTCCTGGGAACGTTCCCAGGAAAGCTAGTTCACTTTCGCTCCCGGGAGCTAAGAGGTCGTATTCTTGAATACCCACAAGCGCTCACAATGTTGCCGCCTATGAGAGTGTCAATCAAACTAACCAAAACGTGTTTCAAGCGAAAAAAGGAAGAGGAAGTTATCTAACTCAATATCTAACCCCACGTTTGATATTTATTATTGTCTATTTTTCAAAACTTTGAAAGCTGAAAGGCATTTGGCTTTGATAATATATTTATTTTTAACTACCCTATGAACATCATCGTTGTAAGTTCTCGATAACTGCATTCCTTTTATGAGATTTTTTATACATGAGGGAAATTTCCGCATAATTTTCTGCAGCATAAATTCCTTATTCCTGCTCCTGAACTTCATCTGGCTCATCAACTTCTGGAATACTGTGTTCAATGCATACCTACCTTTGTAGTTTTGGTTAAAGCCGAGACTCGCCGGAGCGGTAACATACGGGAGTAACCATATCCACTATTTCGTGGCATACATTTTTGCTCACTCTAAAAAATTTCACGAATTTCTGGCCAATGGAAAAGGCAGAACATCCCATCCTATTTCCTTTGCTTCTGAAGCATTTTTCATGTCTTCTTGGATTATGTTAGGTATGTTATTCAAGATAATCTCAATAAAATAATCCACATCCACATTCATTTTAATGAAAAGACACAACGCGTACAAAAACGAAAAAACCTTGAATTTGAGAGGAGAAAACGAAAACGTCAAGCTTGAAAACAACGTCAAGTCTTGAGGTTAGAGACCTTGACGGGAACTCGTTTTCTCTTGGGTGAGAGGATGGGAACTTCAGAATTCCCGGGAACTTTCATCTCACAGTCCCATTTTCAAGAATATTACATGTACCTTTTTGAGGTGAACCACGTCCACTTCCCGAGTAAGTTCTCCTCCCAGAAATTCAAGAATACGGCTCCAGGTGAGACAATGACAGCTCACTACTTTGAAAAAATGGAGTTCCTGAGAAGCTGCCGAATAATCGATAAGGAAGCAGTTTCGTGTTTAATAGACGAATTAAATGATAGCATTGTGCAAAATCGCGCCTGTGCTGTACATTATAGGACACCTAAGGCCCTGTACGAAGAGTACCTTTCTCTTGTCAAAATAACAACACACAGCACACAACCAATAATTATTGGTCAGCCGTTCATCAATACCGAAAACGTCGTTATGATAGTATTCCGTGTCCAAGTAAGACTTTTTTATCAACAAACGTTTGATCTCAGATTCCCTGCCTTCTCGTCGAGTAACACTGTGGGCCACCATATAGGACATGTGAGCCTTTATAGTGATCACTCTGCTGGTGATGTTCTCGTTGTCCTGAAAACAGGACATGGCCTGGAAGTATCACGTAGTCTCACGATGTGTGCTAAGCCTAAACGAAGATTCAGTTCTACCTATTTTTAATAAGTCTGATGAGCCCGTAGAATATTCCAAAGATAAAGTCGTCGCACAAGATTTCACTTGTGAACCAATGGAAGATTTTCAAACACTAGAGTGTTTGTCTACCAACTAAAGTTCTTGCGCTGAGCTACCGATTGAGGATATCAAATTTGATGAAACAATAAGCAAAGATACAGCTTGGTACTGAATAATCTTAACGAGTGCAAATAATATTTTGGTACTTCAATTAGTCAACTTGGTAAAAGTAATTGCACGAAGATGGCCACCAAACTAACAGAAGATGTCCCCATTATGTATCGCTTTTACCGTCTATCTTATACAGAGCGAGAGAAAGTGCGAAATGTCGTACACCAGTTGTTGGAAAATGAAATTATCTGGGAGTCCAACTCGCCCTGCTGCTGCTAAAGAAAAAAAATGTCGAAGAGAGACTGTGTTGACTACCGGGCGCTAAACAGGAAAACCGTCAAGGACAAGTACCCACTACCACGAATAGACGATTTGTTGTATAGACTAGGGTTGTCGGTACTTTTTCACCAAATCGCTATAGATGAAGACTCTATACCAAAAACCGCTTTTGTGACACCTGACGGCCATTATGAGTACCTGCGGATTCCGTTTGGGTTAGTAAACGCTCCAGCTGTCTCCCAACGCACCATGAATGAGGTACTTGGAACTGTCCGTTTTACAGCATTTAATCAGCATACCTGGATTATATCCCAATACCAGCTTCAAACGCAGAAGACTATCTGAAAGGATTAGAGGTAGTGTTGAATCTGATCTGATCTCATCGGGTATGACGCTCCGACTTGATAAGTGTAATTTTTTGTATGGTACTATATTGTATTTAGGTCACGAAATAGGTAATTAAGGCATCAAACCTGGAAAAGAAAAGATTCAAGCAAGCAGTTGCCGAGTTCCCAACACCCAGTACTAAGTAACTATTTTCTTAAATATATTTACAACTTTGCCTCTATCGCAAAACCTCTTCGCAATTTGACAAAGAAAAATGCCATTTTTGTTTGGTCGGATGACGGAAACCGCTCGTTTGAAGACTTGAAGCAAAAACTAATTTCACGATTGCTGCGTGCGATATATGATCCTGATGCCCTGACGGAATTATACACAGATGCGAGAAGGATAGGCATAGGAGGCATTCTCCTACAAACCCAGCTTAATGGAGAAGTAAAACCTGTACAATATTTTAACCAATCAACGACCAATGAGGAGAAGAACTACCTTTCGTACGAGCTAGAGACGCTAGTGAATACATTGAAGAAGTTTGGAACCTATCTTATTGGTATCAAGTTTAAAATAGTAACAGACTGCAACGCTTTACGTGCCACACTCACCAAACGAGATATAATTCCAAGAATTGGAAGGTGGTGGTTGTCAACCCAAGAATTTGATTTCACCCTTGAGTATTATACCGGATCTTAAATGGGCCACGTAGACGCATTGAGCAGGAATCCAATATTAAATAGTGAAGATCTGGTGTGTGCCGAAGTGCCTATGCTACACGTTGCAGTTGATGAAAATGATTGGTCCTGTCTGCACAACTCACTGACAAACATTGCCAGGAGTTGCACTAGAGCCTAACAGAAGTACCGGTTATTCCAGAGGATAAAAGAGTCCATGAGGAGTACCTGCTTAAAGAAGGTACCAAAAGCGACGAGAAACCACGAGGGTGCAGGACATCCAGGAGCTAATAAAACGTTTGAATCCATCCAAAGCGATATCGGTTTCCAGCTATGCGCAAGTCCACCAAGCTATATTTCTTATTGCTTGGGTTGTCAGTACAATAGGAAGCCAGCCGGAAAGCCACCAGGGGTCCGATTCTCGAGCCAGGGAGTAGAGCTTCCCGAGAAAACAGATTTTTCGTCTTTATCATTCTCGTTTACTTTTCGATTACGTTGATAAGGACCAAACATTCGTTCTATCTAGCCTGAGAATCGGCCCCCAGGGAGCTTATAGAACATTGATAAGAAGAATATACCTATGGATAAACTCCACCTTGATTCCTTGTAAAGAGCAGAAAGAAAAATAGTTATTTGATCGTGGCAGTTGATGGATTCACGAAATTCACTTTCATGGAGGCAGTCCCAACTACCAGTACAGCCCCTGTTATCAAGTTTCTCGAAGACATAATTGAAATGTTTGGCGTTCCTCGGCGCTTGATTTCGAGAGAGGTACTGCTTTACGTGCGCAGCCTGCGTCTCAAACTTAGGCATAAAACACGTTTTATGTGCTATCGCTACCCCGGGGGCAAACGGCCAGGTAGAGCGCATGAAATGAGTAATTTTAAATGCTCTAATTACAACTGTTGAAATTGAAGAACGTTGGGACGGGCCAATAAGTAAGATAAGATGGAGTATGAACTCTACAGTTAGTTCGACTACGGGCAAGTCCCCATACGAAGTATTTCTTGGATATTGTCTAAGGGGCGTAAATGACGCATTTCTTAGTGCGGAGGTCGGCGAAGACGAAGTGGATGATTTGGCTGTGTTGAGAGAGGAGGTCTCTGATCGGATTT